TTTTTTTTATTTACAAATTTAATTTATTCTACATTATGTTAATAGTCTTGGTTATCTCAATCCCGAAATTGCAAAACTGGATAATTAAACCGGATCATTAGAATAAACCGTAACATAAACCAGATCAAAGGAAGTAAACGGTGGCAATGCATTTGATGGAGTTTCCCGTCAAGCTCTTAGCGCCGTGAACGTAACCCTAACGGCATCTATAATGGCGTCGTGTGATGACGATTTCTCTCTCCTTGGCGACGATCAGTCAAACCCTAATCACCACCACCAGGTTCTTCATCACCAACCTTACGCTCCTAGGCGATTCACACCGAAACCCTCGAACCAGATCCATCTGCCTCATCATCACCAGAGGAACGGCGATGAGGACGACGAGAACGACGTCGTTGTCGAGGCGACTTCTACTTTTCACGGTGTGAATCCTTTCTCCGCCGACGAGAATTCGAATCCGTATGATAACAACGCAGCTGTAGACGGAGACGATGATCTCGATGCGAACAGATCCAGAATCGGAGGTGTTCGTGTGGAGAAGAGACAGAATCAGGATGAGCTTAGCGACGGTGGAACAACGAATGGCGGTGAAACGACGCCGTACGGTAGTTTCAAGAGGCCGAGGACATCGTCTTCCTCCGCCGGTGAGTACAGGAAAGACAGGGAAGAGTGGAGCGATGCGGCGATCTCGTGTCTGTTAGATGCGTATTCGGACAAATTCACACAGCTCAATCGAGGTAATCTGAGAGGAAGGGATTGGGAAGAGGTTGCTTCATCGGTGAGCGAGAGGTGTGAAAAGCTGAGTAAGAGTGTAGAACAGTGTAAGAACAAGATCGATAATCTAAAGAAGAGGTATAAGTTAGAAAGGCACAGAATGAGTAGTGGAGGAACATCAGCTAGTCACTGGCCTTGGTTTAAGAAGATGGAAGTGATTGTGGGCAATTCCTTGTCTTCTAAAGGTGCGTCTGATGAAGATAGAAGTGGTAGCTCAATGGGGAATGCTGTGAAGCCAGCGAGGAGGTAAATGCGTAAACGATCACTAGCCCTGTTCTCGCCCTTCTCTTTCTCGTTGCTCGGAGATTGAAAGTTTTTGGCTTTGTAATTTTTGTTTCAGGTATCCATTGATTACATATAACCCTGGAGTTCAGATAAATAACGTCAAATCCAAGGCTACATCGGATCCTAGATGGAGAAGAGTTGTTCTAAAAATCAGTGGTGCAGCTCTTGCATGCACGGGTCCTAATAACATTGATCCCAAGGTTTCTTATAGAATTCGTAATCATTTATTGATGTATTTGCACTATCCGGGTCTGACCTTAGATTCTTTTCTTGATTTGTTAGGTCGTCAATCTGATTGCAAGAGAAGTTGCAATGGCTTGTCGTCTTGGTGTAGAGGTAACACTCAGTTCCAGATTGTTTTAGCGTTATTCCATCATTGCCCTTTTCTCTGTTTAATGGTATTCGTAGTTTCTTTCTTCCAGGTAGCGATAGTTGTTGGGAGTCGGAATTTTTTTTGCGGTGGTACATGGATAAGTGCTACTGGTTTGGATAGAACCACTGCATATCATATCAGGTCGTGTTTTCTACTTAATTTGGTCAAATATATCGGTAGCTCTGCCTGGCGCGAATACTCTATGAGAAATTTATCTGCATCCATAGATCGTGCTGACGTGCTCTGAAGTTGTCACATATCATCATTGTTTAAACACACATGCACATAGAAACGGATTTTAGTTGTCTTACTATATTTATCTTACATGAGATAGGTTGTTTAAGTCTTTGTCTTCTGTTTTGTTGTCTTTCCTATTTCTATTGGAGAATCACTAAATCTCTATTGTAACAGTATGATGGCGTCTGTGATGAATTCTACTTTACTTCATTCATCTCTGGAGAAAATGGGAGTTCAGGCACGGTTACAAACTTCGATTTCAGTTCAGGGGGTCGGGGAGCCTTACAATCGTCAACGAGCCATCCGTCATCTAGATAAGGGAAGAGTGGTAATATTTGGTGGCATTGGTGCAACGCTTGGAAATCCACTTTTATCATCTGATGCATCTGCAGCGCTTCGAGCTATAGATAGTATAACTCCTTTTACTCCCTCTTAGTGTTCCTTTATGCAATAACTTAAACTGTGCTAACTTAAGACCTCTCGGACACATGATCAGTTAATGCAGAGGCAGTGGTGAAAGGAACAAACGTGGATGGTGTTTATGACTGCCATTCACAAGATAGTAATGTCACATTCGAGCATATAACGTTTCAAGACTTGGCTTCTAGAGGTCTTACATCAATGGATACAATGGCCCTTAACTTCTGTGAAGAGAACAGCATTCCAGGTCAAAATCTCTTTTATCATTGTTTTCCGTCCTCATAGATTCCGCTCAATACTTAAATCAGAGTGAGATAAATGGTTAAACCGAGTGAATTGTGCAGTTTGGACTTCAATGGTAAACAGAGTGATATATGTTCTCACATGATATGATAGAATCAAACCTTGAATGTGATGCGACTGATCCTTGTCCTCTAAATGTGTAAAAAAACAGTTGTGGTATTTAACTTTCTGGAAGCTGGGAACATCACAAAGGCGTTGTGCGGAGAACAAGTTGGTACTCTGATCGATAGAACCGGGAGGGGTGTGAGCTAGCTAGTATGTGCTCTTCTTCTTCATTCATAAGACTTTTGTGTAACTTTATTAACTCTTTTTAAGTAAATTATATTTACATAGATGAGTTGACCCCAAACAAGAAGGAGTGTCTCTTTATCTCTTTACCTGGAGTTTCTCTCCATTTCACCAAGTTTTTTTTTTTTTCCCTTTATACTAGTTGTATATTCTTGCTTCTTAGTACTATCATTTTATATAATTAAATTAATTATTACTGATTTCATATCTGTTTACCAGAGTAGTTAGATTCATTTCTACACAACAATTCTCATGTAAAAGTCTCTTTATATGAAAGCATTTTATGGGCTGAACAGAGTAAAGGCCCAACTAATGTAACCGCCTTGAACGGATAATTACAACAAACAATAATAA